AATACAACTAGTAAATTGTTTGGTATATTTGCTTCAGATGGACTAGTTCCAGTAAGATTTTGTTTAATACTTAATTTTTTAAATCATTTCATTAGACTTTGGACTGTTTTTATAGCTGAAGAAACTGATGCACAGGGGTTAAACATGCACAGTGCCAAAGCAATCATCTAGTGGTAAAATCTAGAATTGTAGTAATTGCACAAACACATATACTCACATACGCATTTTTAAAGGGCTATCCATAAAGAAATGCTGATCAATGAAGGAAAAGTGTTTATTTTTTTAGTGCATTATTTCCCAAGCAGGGCTAATCCATTTCTATTAGTGCCAAACAGTTTAAATTGAAAGGAAATGGATAAGCTAGTTAAGAAATAATGCTATACTATGCTATATAAAAATGAAAGATTTTCCCCATTTTCTTTACCAAAATTCCTTTTTTCCCCCCACCAATTTACCATAAGGTAAAAGAAAAGGGAAAAAGGAAAGAAAAATTAACACAACTTCAAGGAGGAAAGTATTGATAGCAGAAAAGAATTTTAAGAGCCTTCTGGGACTTTCTAAAAGTCTTTGCCTTTACTTTTCATCTTCGGAGAAGACAATGACTCTCCAAAATACCTTTTAAAACTCCTGACCCTCTATCATCTGCTGCTTCCCTTTCTCTCTCACATTCGCGATGTCCCCAAAGGAAGGCTGAAGACTTGTGAAAACAGAGACACTGGGGAAAGAGCATTACAGCTCCTTTTCACACTCAGGAGGTCTCAGTCCTGTACCTACAGCCCAGACCCTAGGCCACCCTGACTGCTCGGGATCCTTGCCTCACCCAGCTTGTGCAGTGCTTTATAGATGGACAACATAGGTGGTACCAGCACCTTTCTTCTGTATGGCAATATCCAGTCCTTAAGGGTCAAGCAAACAGAGGGGTGGCTATGCCTCAAGTTGCAGCTGATTTTGTGTACAAAGAAGAAAGGAAAATAAGAAGAAGCTTTAAGTTCTGCTGTTCCATGTTAAATGACTACATCATTCACCAGAGGACGAAGAACAATTTATAATAGTTGCAATGGGAAGTGCAAGTGTTCTGCAAAGAGATAGACTTAGGTCGTGGTATGACCCTGGATAAGTTACTTGATCTCTCTGAGCCTCATTTCCCTGGATGTAATCTGAGAAGGATGATTCCTATCCTGGAGTTTTGTTATGAGAACATAAGTAGAACTCAAACAGATGACTGATGATACATGGTAGATATTTAACAAAGGAGAGCTAAATACATTATGACTTTGCCTGATTTTAGGAGAGAGGAGCAATAAGCTGGATGTGAAAATGAGCCAAATCACTAATGAAACTGCAGCACCCTGTTGGAGATGGCAATTTTTTTTTTTTTGTTTTTCTGCGTCCAGTTTCATAGGCTTCTGAGTAAAATCATGCTGCTTATAGCTTCAAGAGCCTAGCAGTCATGTACTTGTCCTCAATATTGAATATGCTTAGTCATATTCTTAGATAACTTAACATCACATGTTTTATTTTTAGAGAGCCCAGCCATAAACAAATGACCAAACTGACACAAAAGCAGTTAATATTGAAAGTGCCCTGTTCTAACCCTTCATATCTGGCTTTCCTTTCTTTAAGGCAAGGTTTCCCAAAGTGTGTTCCCTATTATTAATTTTACAGAAGATTGTTACTGAAGATGTTAAGAAGAAAAAATCATGTTTTTATTTTTGTTTTGTTCTGTTGTGGTTTTCCATGTGAGTTTTCAGAATATTCAAAATTCTATTGTTCATTCTATTGTAATGAGTATTTAGAGGTATCTCTAAAAAGGTAAGAGGACTCCTACATCCCCAAATTGTATTTGCCCAAAAAATGAGTTGAAGAACTGTCACCTGAATTTTTTGTCCTTTTGTGGAGACATTTTCCATAGGCACAATAGGGGCAATGGGGCTGGGGACGGAGGGAGAGCAGAGAGAGTGAATCCAAGAATTAATACTCTAAACCAGGAGTCACAAATCCTAATGCCTACAGGAGAAAGTGACATCAAGATCAGAGGTAGGCTGGATGCATTACAAGAGAAGATGGTAAGATGATGGCAAACTGCGGAACGTATGTTCTGTCCACCACACTTCAAATTATGACAAAATATTCTGTGGGCCTGTTGTATGTTTGTGATTCCTGCCCTCCACAGTTTGCCAGCATGAAGCCCCTGTTCTAAGAAGATCTCTTTCATTTTTGTTTCAAATATAGTACCAGTGAATAAACTTAAAAAGTACCTTTTAAGATCCAAATTTTAACATTTTAAAGGGAGAGCAGAAAGGATGTGACATATTTAGAGCAGGACACCACCCCCTTCCTCTGTCTTGACCGTGGTTACCAATAGGCCTATCTCAGGGTTAAGGGATGGGGTTCTGCTTATAGCTTAGTACTGTGTTATCCACAAATATGTGGTAAGAATAGCTCATGCCTTTTGAGCACTTACATTTCACCAGACACTGTTCCACGTACTTTACTTATAGCTCCTCATTTCATCCTCACAGTAACCCTATTATTATCCTCATTTTGCAGATAAGGCACAGTTTAAGCCACCAGCCCATAGTTACACAGCTAGCAAGCAGCAGAACCGGGATTGAAATCCCAGCTGTCTGGTTCTAAAATCCACACTTTTTTTTTCTTTCTTTCCTATTATTTAAGTAGGCTCCACTTGAACTCATGACTCTGAGCTCAAGAGTCACATGCTCTACCAACTGAGCCAGCCAGGCACCCTCCAAAACCATACTCTTAACCACTATTCTAAACTCAGTCTTGGAGATGTCTTGCTCCCCATTTGAGGGGTATATCAGTTTTGAATGCTTTGGGCTGCAGGTAACAGAAATCCTGGCTAACAGTGTCTGGGACAAGTATTTTTCCACAAAATAAGACATCTGGAAGCAGGGGTCTACTGGCATTGGTGCTGTACCTCAGCAATGTCAGATCCAACTTCTCTCCTCATGGTCACAAGATGGCTAGCTCTCTGCTGGGCATTATATATGAAATCAAGAAAGCAGGAAGTAGGAAGGTGTGGTACCAGCTTATTAGATCTCTTTAATCAGGAAACTAAACTGTTTCCCAGAAGTCCCCAACAGACTTTAGCTTAACTTTGTTGCCAGAATGACATCACAGGACCATGTCTGGCTGCAAAGGAGTCTGGGAAAGCAAGTATTTCTCTTCTCTAGCCCCAAGAGTGGAGGCAGGCAAAGGAATATCTGGTTGACAACAGGTGCTGGCTTAGCCAGCCAACAGTGTGGGCCATAGGAGTTTAGTTTGGTTAGGAAAATACCAAAAGAACTTCATCATACAGTGTGTCACCCATGCCATGACCCAAGGAAAGTTAAACAGTAACAATTAAAGTTGGCCACAAAACCAAAACTAAACTGTAGAATTCCTATGGCCTTTTTAAAGTGTCTGCCTCTATCCATTTCCAAATATGTGAAATGATGTCTCACCCTTTCCCTGATCAAACCTATCTGTATAGTATGTAAAAACTCATTATTTGATATTCACACACTCAGATACTTTTATGCTATTCCTAGTTATGTTATTTTTATAAAATGTTATCTCTTTACTCATGGTTAATAAATCAAAATGACAATTTTTAATACAGTTTCAAAATTGGATTGAAATTTGTCAGAAACTAGAAACTTCAGTGCTGAAAGTACATAATACATTATTCGGATTTATAATCTACTTTCCAGTTTGTACTGGATTTCTGGGTCTTTCTACTACTTTAAATGTAAGTTTTTTTCTTTTATGTTTTTATCATGGCACACAAACTCAGAAAACCTGTTAAGGCAACTATATAATGCAATCTAAATATCCAGTTAACATATTGCTATGGAAACCAGGAAACAGAAACAGCACTCTAGTCATTCCTTTGAACAACTATGGTTAATTGTGTGTGTGAATGTGAGTGTGTCTGTGAATTCATTAGTTTATTCACCTTTAACTGGAAGTTGGTACTGAACCCCAAATCTATAACTGATCGTCCATAAATAGGACCAGTGCTGTTCAACCTATAAATCAGCATTTAATAACCATGTAACCAATATGGTTAGATAACCAATAACCATAGCCATTGTTACATTATGCCATGTGATATCAGGAAACTTTCAGGAGGGCTGCGTTGTTTATTTAGCCTTGCTAGACTTCAGCCTTCTGGCATGGTATGAAGAACACCTGACTGGGATTTGAGAGCTGGGTTCTAACCTCACCTCTTTTACCAACCAGCTGTGTGATCCTCTTAGGAACTCTTAGGCACTCAGGTTCCTCATCTGCAAAATAGTTCAATGCAGAGCTCTAGTATTATGTAATAAGAAAGTTCCTTTCCCATAAAATTGGGGAATCGCGAAGTAATTACTTTTGAGGACTGAAATTGCTCTGTGTAGTCCCTGAGAAACTGCCTGGCACATAGTAAGCTCTCAGGAAAAGGACAACTATTCTTATTATACTTTTCTATTTTCATTCTGTAGTAAATAATTCCTGAACCTGCACAGTAAATGTTTTGTCACATGACTCAATAACAGACACCATTGTCTGGCAAGCCCTTATGCAAGTCAGAAAGGAGAATGCTAAGACCTAACAGGCAATGCTGTTCCTTAGATTCTGTTACCTTTGAGGGTTTATTTTCTCTCGAAAGTTAATGTCAATTTTGATAGACATGCGAAGTACAAAAATGTAACACAATCCCAATACAATTCACTAGGCTCCCACAACTTTTTATTTTTAATCATAGGATTTCAACATTCAAGAATTAAACTTTTGTTCTGTTTTGCTTGTTCATTGCTGTTTGCCTAGTTATTTAATCAGCCTGTTTCCTGCTATTAAAAAAAAAAAAGGTGAAAGAAGCTGAAGTTTCCTCAGGGCTAACCTCCTGTGTTGTTCTTCCTTCCAGAAATCTGAGTTATTATAGTAGGGGATAATCGTTGCATAATGAAATCATTGGGACAATTCTCCATCCACTCCTACCTCCGTCTCTGACAATGAATTCCTTGTCTCTGGGGTGTCCAACTCTCTCTAGCCCGCTCGGTGCCCAGCGGCTAAGGCAGCCGTGGGAGAGACTGGGAACTGGGCGTCGCGATTTTCCCGCCGGCAGCGCGCGGGAGTGCGCGGAGTGGGCGCGCAGTGGGCACCCCTGGCGTTCTGCGCGCCTGCTGACGCTCGCCGCGCGAGCACCAGGAGGGGGAGACTCGGACTCGCTTATCCCCAGCTGTGCTCACTTCAAACTGCCCGGGCTGGGGGAGTTGAGAGCGCGCAGACAGGACGAGAAAACTTCTCCTCCACCTAGAAAGTTTCACCTTGGCCGGGGCGGGGGAGGGGCGGGAGGAAACGCGACCCCCGCGGGGACTGGCGCGGCGCGCGGGCGGCAGGAAGGGCGGGGGCCGATTTCCCCCTCTGGGTGGTGCCAGTCCCCACCTCAGCGGTCCTAGGACCGGCGGGCGAGGCAGACAACCCCGCGCGAGACAGACGGACACGTGCTGGGGCGGGCAGGCGGGCGAGCGCCTCGGTCGGATCGCCCGGCCGTGCTTCCCGCCTGGACGCGCCCGGGGCGGCCGCGGGCCGCGCGCGCCGATGCCCGGCTGAGTCACCCGCCGGGTAGCGCGCGGGTGAGAAGGGGCGGAGGGAGCGCGGCCGGCTGACGGACCCGGCGCTCGGCTCGGCCCCGCCGCAGGTGACCCGGACGCTCTCGCAGCCCGGAGCGCCACGAGCGCTTTGTGACCAGATGCGGAACCCAGCGGAGGGCGCAAGCCAGATGCGGGGCGACAGCTGACTTGCGGCGGCGAGGCGCGGAGCACGCGGGTGGTCTCTGCGCGACTGACGGCTCCGCGGTTCTCGGACACCGCAAGGTAAAGCTACGGCTCGCTTCGGACCCCGCACCCCACCCTTCGGCCCCAGCGTTCTGCTCTTTGTTCCCCTGAGAGACCTGAGAGCTGTTCCAGAGGGCAAGACCAGGGAGGGTGGGCGAGTTAAGGGCTTCAGAAACTGAAGGGATGTGGCCGGGGAGAGGTGTAAACTAGAGTGGGGCTTTTCGTTGTAGGGGTTTGCTTCTGACGGCCACCTGTATGACTCAGGAGAGAGAGGGGCGTTGGAGTGAGGGGTGATGTATGACTGTTATGGCTGGGCAAGTTTCAAGGCTGTGATCTGACTCAGCCCTTCGAAAAGGAATTTGGCCACCCTGGAACAGGGTGATGCGGCAGGGAAGATTCTAGCCGAGGGGGTTTCCTTGTTCCCGACCCTGCTTTATCTATAATACGTGAGGATCTTTCGAAGGGGCAGGTGTTTTTGTGAAGGTCTGAATTCTACATTTCTGGCAAATACACAGGGCTTGTGATCCATCATTTTCAATCTTACCTTATCTCTTTGCTGGGGCTGCGTGGAGGATATCTATATTAGGTGAACTAGATTATAACCAGAGGTCGGGCAGTCTAGATAGTACTGGTATTGACCCAATAATTTAAACACCAATGAAAGTATTTTCACCGACTATTGCCAATACAGGATTTACTCTAAAGTATGGTTTTCCATTTCACATCTTTTATGTTTTAAAAGAGCCATTTACTAATTTGGCCTTTGGAGAGATTTCCAGTGGCCCATGCATGAATAGTTGCCCAGTATATTTTACCTTATCACAGTTTTACGTTCAGAGGAGCTCTGGGGCAGAATGAAATATTGTCAGCTCTCTTAGGCAAAATAATCAGGATACTATAATCACCAAGTTAAGATGGTCAATGAATATGAGAGGTTGTAAAAACTGACATTAGAGAGAATATAGACTATATGAAACCTCTTCTGAATTTTAAGAACACTGTTCACATTTTGTAGAGTTGGGTGGAGGTTTTTTCTGTCGTTTTCATCAGCCAGACACATGGACATTGCCATGCAAATGGATCCAGAAAAACATTTTCCTTTATAGCTAAACTATTTTAGCTGACTAATGCATTTTTTCTGCATGAAGATGATCTGAAAATGTTATATATCATGTTTCTCTGTGCTACTGGGACATAAATTGTGTTTTTATGTAAACTGTTAAGTGGTGCTTAGATTATTTACGTGTACATAGCTTTCCTTTCTATTTCTCAGCTTATTGGGCTTTGTTTTAGCATGGAAACTTCCATAATAGAACAGAAGTGAGGTGCTTTGGTTCCAATCATACACTGCAAGTCTGTGATATAGTCAATGTTCATTCTTTTTGAACAGCTGAATAATACCAGTAACACTTACATTACTCCTAAGAAATTTTTGTAGTACCAAAAATGTGTGTGAGTGCCTATAAAATATGCTGCTGTTTTAGAAAACCTGTTCAGGTTTCAAACTTGACTGTGCATAAACCTATAATTATTAACCTAAATATATTTTGATTTTAACATGATGGGCTTTATAGCATATAGAAGATGATCTACTGAGTACTATGTTTTCAAAGATTGCTTTGTTCTTAATACATCACAGTAAGGGTTAACATTAGATGTGTACTCCATGCCTTCAGAATTAATGGGTGAGGTTTATCTGAATGATAAAGATATACAAGATTAACCACACCAAGTCAATATGAAAGCTGATAATATTTTCGTGACTTTTAAAACTACAATAAAAAGAAAATGACACTTTTCTAAGCAGGAGAAATACATTTATCTTATAAATTCCTTAAGACTGTACAAGCATATGTCCCACTGTAATCTCAACATTTTAAAAATTTGTCTTAAGGTGAGTTAAACTAAGAAATACATTTCAAGTCGATTTTCTTAGTTGTTGGTTAAAAAAAATAATTCAAAATAACAGTCTGATTTTCCTTTTACAAATCTATATAATAGCCTCAAATAAACTTTTTCTCAAATGTGTCATCTCAAAATAAAATGGATAACTCAAAAGGGCTATTCTTTAAAGACACACAACTTTCTCTAGGTGACTACACCAGTGCCTATGGTGACACACCCATGAAAAGTAAAGGGCTCCATACACGACAGATTCAGAGCACTTCCCATCTTTCTGCCCCTTCCTCCTCATCCCTTCCCCTTGGTTGGGTCAGAGTTGCTTCCAAACCCTTCTGTGCCCCCATTTTTCCACTCTAATTTCATGGTTTCTTCTTCACTGTCATTAGGCTCACCAGAGCCAGCTATGCTTTCTTTTCCCCATCATCCCTAATATTTTCCTCGGGCCACTGTGCTTGTTAATGGGATACCAAATTTCCTAACTGTGCTGCCTTAAGGGAAGACAATATGAAGAAACTCAAGTACCAGGAAATTAACCTCCTTTACCTCGCTGGTATGTATGTTGAAACTGGTGTCTTTGACATAGAGCCCTCAGGGCAGTTTTATCATGGGCTTTGCTCAATGCAAAAGAAATAGTAACCTCTTAGTAATGAATGATAAATATACTAATGTCAATTCAGGATCACTTTGATTCTCTTTTCTTAACTGGCACTGAGTTGCTGCCAGGCTCACATTTGCCTCACCAAAAATAGCCAAGAACTTTATGTTGAGCATCATATGTGTTTGGTACCAGAGAAATATTTTTTAAAAAGGGAGAAATGAAATCTCTGCCCTTGAAAAGGGTTTACAATCTAGATCTTCAGATAAATAACACATATAAAATAGAACCAAGATCCATAATTATTAAGGGGACATAACATGAAAAGGACATTAGAAATCATCCCATTTAAATAATAGAATTTTTTTTTTTAATCTAAAGATCGGAACTTAAAGACCTCTTAAAATTTTCAGGCTGTTTCTGAGCATATCCTCTTTCTGCTACTACAACAACCTTACAAAATAGATAAGGCTGATATCAATATTATAACCTTTCCTGCCTATAGGTAAGGAACTGTGTTTGAGCCTGGCCTCCATGCTATCTAGACAGCACCTCTGCCCAGCCATCAATAAAGGTTAACTATTTGGAGCATTTTCTGCTGAAGCATAGTTTGGGATACTTAGGTTAGTGATAATGATGAATGTAACATTTCTCGTCTCTAGAGTTTTTCTCACCTTCTGTTTCTCCAGTTCTCTTTTTTGTTCTTTCTCTTTTTGTAGTAAAGCATACCAGAAAAAGCCTTCATTCAAATGTGTGAGACATTCTGCTCCTGTTATCAGATTAAGAGCTGTGAGTAATTTTGTAATCTATCCTACTATCAGAAAGCCCATTCTCAGATATCTCTTCAGCTGTGTTTAACAGTTTAGTATATTCCCCTTGGGATTTGTTTCAATAAAAACATCCAGTAAAATCTTACTACAGATCCTTTGTTTTTCAAGGGACAAAATGAAGAAAGTGTTTTTATAAGCTGTAAAATGTAATTGAGAGAAAAGTCACACGTGTGGCATTTGTAGCAGGAGGTGTGAGCTCAGTGGAAAAAAAAAGTTAACTAATTGCATATCCAGGTATACATATTTCTTCTATGATTGTGTAAATTTGCCCAAGTACATTTATGCAGGTTATGCATGTTGTTTTTAATTTCTGTAATAAGTTGTGTAGCTATAGGGCCCATAGAATTCATGTTAAGAGCCTATGGGCCATATAGAGGCTCTTGGCAGGCTTCGTCGGTAGAGCATGTGACTTTTGATTTTGGGTTTGTAAGTTCCAGCCCCACATTGGGTATAGAGATTACTTAAAAATAAATAAAATCTTAAAAAAAAAAAAAGCCTGTGGGTCATATAAATTATATAATGATCCATAGAATTTGAAAATGTATTTCTTCTGGGGTGCCTGGGTGGCTCACTTTTAAAGTGGCATTTGAACTAGAACCTGAAGGACATAAGAGAATGAGCTGTGTGGATATCTGGAGCAGGGCTTCTACTTTGTACCCTCCAGCGAGCCATTCTTATTTTGTTGTCTCTGGAATTGTGCAATGCACAGCCTGCACAGCTCTACTTGGAGTCCCTGATTTTTTATGGGAAGTTCCTGGACAGTGCCTGCCATAGTTTACTGCGGTCTCAAAGGTGACAACGAAGGAGTGACGCACATCCCTTGGTTTATGGTATATGGAAGAAGCAAAACCATGGTATTTTCCTGCATTCACCTGGTCCCATGTCCGCATGCCATCCTTGATCAAGGTTATTGCTCCATTCAGTTCTTCTTCTTATTTTCTATACTGTGAGCCTGGCCCAAAAGGATTTGTTGAGAGTAATACCCATAGCCTTTGTCTCCGATTCCTTCCATAGTAAGAATCTGGAGACAGCAAAGTTGTTGTCTGTATATGTGGCCTGTGTTTGCTGTGCACTTCTTTATTTCTTCTCTCTCTCCTTTCTTTTCCCTTTCCAATGTCAAACCACTGTGCTGGATTTTCTTCCTCTTTTCTTCCTGCCCCTTTACGCCCTGCCTATGTCCTGTATCAAGATTTGTAAATGGGGGAAAAAGAGGGGGTGTCTGGCTGGCTCAGTCAGTAGAACATGTGACTCAATCTCAGGGTTGTGAGTTTGAGCCCTGCATGGACCACAGAGATTATTAAGGAAAAAAAAGATTTGCAACAGGTAACCTAAATGAATGAAACCAACTATTTCACTAAGGACCAATAGCCTGCTTAGAAAAAGCCCCACCTGAATTCTCTTACACTGTTGGTGGGAATGCAAGTTGGTATAGCCACTTTGGAAAACAGTGTGGAGGTGCCTCAAAAAATTAAAAATAGAGCTACCCTATGACCCAGCAATTGCGCTACTGGGTATTTACCCCAAAGACACAGATGTAGTGAAGAGAAGGGCCATATACACCCCAATGTTCATAGTAGCAATGTGTGCAATAGCCAAATTGTGGGAAGAGCCAAGATGCCCTTCAACAGATGAATGGATAAAGAAGATGTGGTCCATATATACAATGGAATATTACTCAGCCATCAGAAAGGATGAATACCCAACTTTTACATCAACATGGATGGAACTGGAGGAGATTATACTAAGTGAAATAAGTCAAGCAGAGAAAGTCAATTATCATA